ATGTAAGATTCACAATAGTATTTTATAGTAAGATACATATAAAAGTCAGATCATACAATATGAATTTTATGACAACCGATTGCCAGCAAGATCGTGTAAGATGGTTATACGATCTTCGTAAGATTTTTCCACCTGAACTACTATCAACACAACAAATTAATCAGAGCTATTTAAAAAGAAATATTTACTCGTGCATGAGCGACAATAGGCTCTTAAGAGGACGCTAAGAATCATCAATAAAGAATGAGTAGGAAGAAATTACAGTTTTTAATCTCTCCCTGCCGCTCAGTCTACAATGTGTCCAACTTTGAAGTATCTCCCGTATCCATTTACCTGAATATCCTTTATGAGTGACCCCTTAGTAGTTATAAATAGGAGAACCAAGACGGTTGATGAGAGAAAAGAAAAAAAAAGTTTATTGTGTTTGACATTTGTAACTTATCTTAAAATATTTAAGTATTTACATACATCATAACACCCTGAAAAATTATGCCAGTGACGTTCTTTTTTGAACGAATCTTTTTTTTTTGCGTCTGGTAGACGCTGCGACGAGTGTATTTATAACTTTCTATTGTATAATGAAATTTAATATAGAACAGGTTTTTTTATTTTGGATTTTGCTGCGATAATACGTAAATTCTGCTGGTGATCGTGAAACAGCATCAGCTCCTCTTCGAGATCAAACAATAACAGCGAATGATGCTGTTAAACAATATCGTATACCTATTTCAAGTCTTTATTGACATTTATCTAATTTTCGTGGTGATGGTAAACCAAGTGCTAAAACAATATTATCGAGTGAGGAAGGAAAATTTCTTATCAATGCCACACAAACATTAAACCTGGCAACATTCCTTAACTCAATCGGGGTTTCATATTTATAGCATGTACATTTTTGATCGAACTCAACAAGAAAAATATCTCAAATCATTTATCATCAGACTTGTCTAGATATCATGCAAATCAAGAGTCAGTCAAAGAAATATAAGTTTTAATAACTTTCAAGTTTCTTCGATAATTTATAGTCGCAGTATTATCAAATAGCACGAAATACTAAAAGATGTATGCAACATTTTTGAATGATAGCTTTACACGAATGGTTCTATTCCTTTCGTCAATGCTGATACTGTGAAATTAAATAAGTTGAATTCTGTAAAATAGAGNAAATGTATTGATTCTACAACATAAATATCGAAACCTTCGCAATAAACTTTTTTCAAACTGTTTTACCATGAAATGCTGATACTGTGAAATTAAATAAGTTGAATTCTGTAAAATAGAGAGTTCAAAATCATTGTTTTGCAAAGTTAGGTGTAATTCATCGACCAGAAGCTATGTACAATGTAGACAAGTCTGATTTTAGAGATGATCCAGGACGCAACAGAGGACTAATAGAAAGGAACTCAAAATATACAATATCTATTCAAGGTAGTGCTAGTAAAAACCATGCAATTCTTGTAATATGCATTTCAGCTTCTAGCAAGTTAAATTTCAGATTGTTGAATTATTTTGTTTTGTTTTTTGTTAGATTTCTGTTACCATATATTATTTGTTGAGTACAACGACTTTATGATACATGAACTCTGAAAAATGCCTATCCTGGCACTCGTTCCAATACAACAACATACAATTGGAGCGAAGAAACTATTTTTTTTTGATTGGGTCTGCAATCATTTCGCTTCAGCCGTTAAAATGATAGAAAAACCTTTATTGTTCTTAATGGATGGGCATCATGCTCATTTATCGACAAGAGTTATTAAATATGCCATAGATCAAGGGATACATATAGAATATTTACCAGCTCATACAGTCACCATCTTCCAACCACTCGGTGTTTTAATATTGGGTGGGGATGTGGGTTAATAGAAGTTCACACCCACATTCAAATCCCTATTTTATCTGACGCTGTGAGAACACTTTATTCACAATTTGTCGAACCAGCATTTCATGGTAAAACAGTTTGAAAAAAGTTTATTGCGAAGGTTTCGATATTTATGTTGTAGAATCAATACATTTATCAAGTTCACCATCATCTAATAATAATCGATTTGGTACAAATTTAACACAAAAAAAGTATTTTCGTGTTGCTTTGTATATAATTTTGCCTGCCTATCTCCTATTTCTAGATAATATCAATAATCCTTTAAATGGAGAACGTGAAAAACAAAGTTTTGTCGATACAAATTCATGATCATGATTAACATTGAATAGTGATTCAAGAACATAAAATCATTAAGTACTTGATATTATTACAACGGCAATCAAATCCATAACAAATTGATAGACCTTTTGGTGAAAGTATTACGAATGTTGTTGCTTATATAAAAGTCAAAAATAATGAGAACGCTTGAACAATAGATCAACAAAAGAAAATAGTGTAAAAAGCGAAAAGACAAACAGGATCCAGAGTAAAGGATAAGTATTTTCCATATTAAGATGAATAAAAAAATTTGACTTCGTTTAGTACACGTTATCAGAAAAAAAAATCTTTAATTAGTGAAAACGAAGAAACATTCGACAATAGAATCAATAATCAAAAGGACGATGAAACTACATTAAATAATGCATAGCTCGACCCTAATCGACAACAGAATGAATTATATTCAGCATAAATTACTACACCATCATCATTCTACCGAACAATGATTCACATGTATATCAAGATCAAGCAAAACTTACTTTATTAACCATCAAACTTCGTACAAGTGCAGCAACGTAATATATTCCAATATCGAGCAGTTCTACCAATGTATCTCATGCAATCGCTTATGCTCCACTATATACATGAATAATTATTCGTTCATGATGTCTTTCTATTATCAATATGAAGATTGTTTTTTGACTGTTGCTCTTCAAATAACAGGTTAACAATGCTTCATTTTCTAACATGGTATAGTTTTTATGTTGGTTTTCTCTAAGTCTTATATCATAAGATGTGCTTTTAATATTTATTATGTTTTTACAGATATACTTTTTTTTGATGAAATTTAATAGCCAAATTCTTCCAGAAAGATGAATTCTAATAGTTTACCACATATATACATGAGTGACTATACATTTACCCCACATGGAGTAAATGTATACAGTTTTTTCTTTGAAGATCGGGTTCTTTAGACTTTGTCAAACAAAATTAGTCTTTATATATAGATTAAAAATTAGCTTAGAACTATAGAGAAGACGTTGAGCTATTGATTGGTAAAAAGAATCAGAGAAAGAACAAGTACCAACCGCTCAAAAATTAGGAATTAAAAAAATTTATCAAAAATGGCTCACGAGGAAAATTCTCCAAGTGAACGATAGCTTTTTCGTAGAAACATAGATGACTGTATGCAGTTCACTGCATTGATTCTGAATATTAGGGTCTTAACAGTGCTTAGGCATTTCTAGATTCTGTGTCATTGCTCTGAAGCTCCATCTGATAACAGTTTTTCACATCAAATTTAACCTTTTAATCAGTCTACTATCTACCGATAGTCAAAATATTCATAGGAATATTTTTTTTTTATAGATCCTGCAACCTTCGGTTTCAAATGCTAAGATGGTTCTGTAAGAGAGAAAAAGACTAAATATGCAAAACTGTTATTTTGGAGTTAATATTTTTTCCACATAATGAAAGGATAAAGAAATAATTATATTTTATATATTGCATCCCATCATCTCGCATAATTTACCGCTAGTTTTGAAAATATATCATCATAGTGCCAATATTTTGTATTTTGAAAAATTAGCATACGTGTTTTTCTATTTCTCCCATTGTTATATATTTTTCTCTATATGATACAGTTCTGATTAATTTGTTAATATGTAATGATGAAACGAAAAGAAATGTCAGAAGACTGTTTTTAGTCAATATTCGAATTACTCCGCTGCTTTATAGCATATTATTTGAAACCTAAGGTTGAAGTATATCTATAAAGAAGTATTCGTATGGATATTTTGTCTATTGATACTTGGTAGACTGATTAAAAGTTTGAATTTGATGAAAAATACCTCTATCAGAAGAAGCTTCATGGTAATGACACAGAATCTCGAATAGCCTGAGGGCCACTAAGATCCTGATATTCGGAATCAGCGCAGTGAACTGCATACAGTTACCTATGCTTCTATGAAAAAATGATTGATCACTTCGGGAAGTTTTCTCGTGAGATTATTCATTACCCTCAGTAGGATCAACGGAATTATACATTAGACCCAAATCGGCCCAAATCGGCTAAATGTCTAATCGCAAAGTACTGTCCAAAGAATGCCTTGTAGATGGGTGTACTCACAAGATTTTGACAAAAGTATTATCATCAACCTCTAGAGCATGACAACGGGTAGATGTTTTGTAAAGAAAATTTTACAAAAATGCAAATTAAAGAAGTTATAGCCATTCTACTGAAGTTCACTCATTTAATTTATCCAGTTATCCATTATCACTCTGCATAAATCATTGGCTTATGCTTGTATAAAGAAAATAGTGAAAAACAATGCACACACCTATCTAAAAATATTGAAGGTTTTCATTTAATGTTAAAATATAGTGATACTAGATTTATGAACATATCGAATAGTGTCTTTTAAAAGAAATGTTCTTGACTTGTTAAACTCGAAAGGAGTCTTACATCATATCTACTCATTGTGTTATCTACACTATATTGAGTCAAACTACTTAGGGCGAGTGATAAAGTACTTGTGAAACATTTCAGCATCGATCCTAAAATTACGCAAGTGATTTCATAATAACAGGTATGTATTTAGTAATAACAAACAACAATGACAATAAGTATACGTGGTTTTTTTTTATATAAAAAAGAGCACTCTTTATTGACTAGTCCTTCATTCCGTTATTATTATTTTTTCTTTCTTTCGGTAGAACCATTTTATTCAAATTGATAAGGGAGAAGTAAGAACGAGAAAAAAGAAAGCAAGGTCATAAAATGGAATACGCAAAGAAAAAATATTTACTTTCAGATGTCGACAAGGCCACCGAATCCGAATCCGTTACTCAGCGCTAGCAAATGTTCACGTCTTTTTCAACAGTAAGTAACTTTGTTGTATGTCCGAACAATATTAGAACACAATCTGTTCCTAGATGGGTATCTCCGTTGGTTATAAAATGTCGTAAACACGGTACACTTGATATTAACGATCTTTATGAACCACTTCCTGATTGCGAATCAGCAACACTAACGGATAAGCTCGAAGCAAACTGGTTTGCTGAAACTAAACGAAATCCTGACAAACCAAGTTTAATTCGAGCTACATTACGAACTATGAGATGGAGACCATTCCTCATTGGTCTTAATCTTATTCCTTCCGTAAGTCTAATATTCTAATCGATCATTCTCATTCTATAATTTGTATCGTATAGGAACTTCTCAATATTGTTCAACCACTCTTACTTATATTGCTGATGAGATTCTTTGAACCATGCTCCACGATGCCGGCTTGGCATGCCTGGCTTTTAGCCATGAGCACAATTTTGGTCGCATTTTGCTCTAGTACTATTATTAATTATGTAAGTGTTGTTTTCTTCGTAAAAAGTGTCATTGTATTCGTTTAGAAAATTTACTTAATGGATATTTTGGCTCTACAAATGCGTGTTGCTTATAGTGGTCTGATCTTTCGAAAAGTATTAAGAGAGGGTTCGCCAAAGGATCGAGAAACCCCATACTCCCGAAATTTTCCACTCCTCATTTTATTAGTGGAATCGATAGTCCATGAGGTGAAACTACTAAATCCAAAATATTACCTCGATTAATCATATAACAAGAAAGTTATAAGGACTACATGGACGACTACTCAGTGATTTAGTTAAAATTGCTACTTTTTAGTGTGATCCTCATATCTCCGTCAAAATATAACCTATTTTCGAATAATTATACACCATTTGATAGCGCATCGAACACTCTACAATACTAGGTATACGACAAGATTAAATTAAGTATTAAGATAAGACTTTTCATCAAAATACTGAAGTATAGTCGTCAAGCAAAAGTCAGTATTTTGAGAAAAAACCTCAATTGTTAGTTCATCCCAGAAATTTAGATCGTGCATCGGATAGAGCAATAAAAAAGCTACAAAATTAATCTAAAACAAAAAGTTTTTAATCCGTAAAAGAAAATTTTTTTTTTAAACATTTTTGTGTAAAATATTGTGAAAATGCTGTTTTTCGCTTAATTTTCGACTTTTTTGGTGTGCTCTACGTACTAATTGAGTTAATGTTAATATGATATTCGGAATCAGCATCGAAAATTTAGTCGACTTATATGTGTTTCGAAAATATTCGCGAACTTTTTTTGCATCCGAAAATTCACCCCTGGTCCCCCTCAGGGTTGTCTTGAAAAATATATTTCATCAAAACACTGTTTTTATTGTTTAGTCATCTGCCATTTTGTGTTTTACTATCATTTTACAACCGTAGAACTTGTTTGCCACTGTCGAAATAAATTTTCGATGAAATATATTTCTTGAGACAACTCTGAGAGGTACAGTGGGCAGTAAGTTAAGGGCATGAGCAAAAAACACTTTCAGCATTTTTGATAAAATTTTTTTGAGGAAAAGGTTTTTAGTAACAAGTAAATACATGTTCCTTAGCGCGCTTAGTGCGCTTTCATATGAGATACTATGCAACGTTTTTGGCGCCTAATGTGGCTGGGAAAATTAGAGCTCAAGCAAGAAAAATTTGTCCCTTGGCTACTCACTGTGAGCAGAACCAGGGGTGAATTTTCGGATGCAAAAAAGGTTCGCGAATATTTTCGAAACACATATAGGTCGACTAAATTTTCGATGCTGATTCCGAATATCATATTAATATTAACTCAATTAGTACGTAGAGCACACCAAAAAAGTCGAAAATTAAGCGAAAAACAGCATTTTCACGATATTTTACACAAAAATGTTTAAAAAAAAAATTTTCTTTTACGGATTAAAAACTTTTTGTTTTAGGTTAACCCTTTCGGGACCGGTGACGCTTTAAAGCGTCATTGAAATTTTACATGATCTGACGCAAGTGAATTTGGATTTTTTTCTGGGTCTTTTCGAAGTAAATGTTGCGGTTGCTTTATTTTA